GAGCTGCGGAAGCTGGGGTGCATCTTCAGAGGCGCCAGCCCTCCCTCGGAGCTCCCCCATTTTGAGCTGTGGCCTCCGGGAGGGCTGAGTCGTCTAACCTGGGATGCTGGTGCCAAGGGACTCCCCAGATGCCAAACAAGCCACTGCATGCTGGGAGCTACTGGAAGGGGCATGCCGTGCCCAGTGTCTCGCTTGCCACCTGGCCAGAGGTTAGAGCTGGTAGCAAAACTGCATTAGGCCTCTTGGGTCATGTTCAGGCCACCCCATCCTTCCCAGAGGCAACCTCGTGCACTTCCTCTGGGGGCTGGCTGCCTGTAGGCCTGTCACCAAGGAGACTGCCAGCGGAGAGGCCACCCTGCGAGAGCGGAGCTGGACTCCCGCACCTGACCTTTGGAGGCCGGCTCTGGGGCAAGGCACGCACATTGGCACGCAGCCCGACTCTGGCTTCTGAGCTAATGGTAAGATGCCACGTTTGGGTCAGCTGTGGCCTCGTTTTCTGGCCACAGCACAGTGTGACCGTAGCAGTAGGGAGGCTGGCTGTCCCCCTGGACAAGTCCCTGACGCCACTCCTGGGCCTCTGCTTCCTCAGCTGTAGCTGAGCAGGTGGACACTGTAGGCAGGGCTAGTCCTCACACCCCAGGGCCTGCCTTCTCACTCCTCTCTGCTGGGTCCCTGGGCCCATGGCGACAAACAAGGGCGGGGTGTGGGAGGTGTCATCCCCATCAGGAACTATGGTACTCAAGGAGTCCCGGTCTCTGTCACCTGGCAGGACACCCAGGTGGCTCTGCAACTAGACCTCCCTTCCTAGCCGTGAGCCTTTCTGCAGCTCCAAGTCCCCGCCCTCAGCAAGGAAGGCAGGAAAGCCCGCCAGCAGGGTCCCTCAGGCACGCTCCCTGTCCCCACCTTCGTCGGCTAGGAGCTTCTCCAGGTACTCCTTGTCCACGTACAGCTCCCCCAGCAGCTGGCGGACCGTCTTCTCGCTCTTCAGCGAGGCCTTCCGCTTGCTCTCCCTCTTGGGGTCCTGCAGGAAGTGCCTCACCAGGTGGGGCTTCTGCTGGGCTTTCATGTTCTGGGAAGACAGAGCCGTCCGTCCCCACTGGTCCCACCAAGCTGGGCTCCCTAGAGCCATGGCCCCGGCCTGTGGTCTCAGAGCCAGCTCCCCAAGCCCTCTCTGTGGCCCCGAGCCAGGCTGTGTCAGGTCGGAGCCGAGTTAGACTGCCAAGATCGCTCTGGAGCCCGTGGCCCTTACCTCAGCCTGCTTGCTTAAGAAAGAAAGGTCTCCCCTGTTCTCCAGTTTAATTGACGACGGACCTACAAGGACAAAAGCGGGGTTCACATCGGCCAGGGCCCCAGGCACGACCTATCCCCTTGTTTTCTTGTGGCAATGGCTGACTTTGGCAGGGGATGGTGGAGGCTGTTGGCAAAGCTGTCCCCCCGCCCGGGCCTGCAGCAGGTGGGCGGGACAGGCAGCTTGGTCAGCGCTCTCCCAGGACCTGGCCAGCCCCTGCTCACCCAATCAATGCCTGGGAGGCCGGATTTCCAAAGGGACCAAGGCCTGGCGCAAGGGGAGCTCTCCAAGTGGGGAGGGCCTTTCTCTACACCCTGGGGCCCACTGATCAGAGCACTGTGCAAGCGCAGGCTCCCCTCCAACCTCCCCTGCCCTCGGGCTGCTGAACAAAGCCAGCCCCTGGGGGCGGGCACCTAGAAGGAGTCAGCGGGCCTTTGCCCAAGCCTGCACCTGCACTATGATTGCTAAGACAAATACAGGCCTACTTTGAGGGCATCCCGAGGAAGGCCAGAGGCTGCATTGCAGTGCTTGGCACAGTGCCTCTGGCTAACCCTCCGCAAATATGCCACTCCCTCCTTGAACTCTGGGTAAGGAGCCCTGGTGGTGCAGTTGGTGATGAGTGGACTGCTAACCACCAGGTCAGTGGTTCAAACCCACCAGCTACTCTGTAGGAGGAAGGTGAGGCTTTCTGCTCCTGTAAAGACCAGCCGCCTTGGAAACCCATCGGACACCGATCTGCCCTGTCACCATGAGCCGGGATCAACCTGCTGGCAGTGTTTGGCACTCCTGGTGCAGCCAGTCTGGGAGTCCAGGAGCTTTCCCAGCCAAGGGCCTGGGCCCAGGGTCACTCACTCCCCACTGAGTTGTTGATGGCTTCCTGGGCCTTCTGAATTCCAACTTTGAACTCCCGCTCTGGCCGCAGCTTGTAGCCCCGGTGGTAGAACACCAAGGCGAACTCAAAGTCGCCCATGGTGTACAGCGTCTCGGCCTTCTGTAATATCCCCTGGAAGGAGAGGCAGTCTGATCGAGGTGGACAGGTAAGGCTTTCCTAGGACTCAGCAGTGGTAGTGAGGAAGGTCCCAAGTGGAGGGCCCAGGGTGGGCGATAGGGGGCAGGGAGCTTGGCAAGTGACTCAGGCAGGGCATATGCCACCTAACTCTAGGCAGTCCGGCTAATTCCCCAGCTACTTAACACCGGAGGCTGCTGCAGGCAATGGCTGTGACGAAAGGGTGACAAGGGCCTTCCCCCCAGCTAGTCACCTTGCAGAAAGTCGGGTCGCCCTGGAGCGAGGCCTCGGCATCCTTCAAGGATTCCTCCAAGTCTCCCATCTTCAGGTAGCATTTGGAGCGGGCAACCAGGCAGTTCCTGTCTCCATTCTGAAGCTGAAGAGCCTGTGAGGAACAAACTCCTCAGGATGCACAGGGACCGCACACAGGCCAGGACCAGGAAGGGAGGGAGGGAGGCTTATGAACGCCTGCCGTATGCAGACGACACAACTGTGTT